CCCTTTAACACCAACCTCCCCTTTAATTCCCCCAGTACTCCCCTTTATTCCCCCCCCCCCGGAATTCCTCTTTAGCTCCCCCAACCTCCCCTTTATTTCCCCAACCTCCCCTTTAAGGCCCGCGGGCTGGGGCCGGAGCGGTTCTAAATTCCCCAGCCTCACTCTGGCCAGGCAGCCCCGCCCCGTTGGGGGAGGAGGAGCGGCCTCTGCCCCAGCGACAGGAAGTGACGTACAGTCCAGAGGCGGAAGTCGCTTTCTGTGATCGGAAATTAGCTGTTTCCAAGGGGAGCGCCGGGCTGGGTGAGAGTGTCCGGGGGTCAGGACGCCTGGGTTCCCTGCTCCGGGGGAGGGATCAGGACGCCTGGGTTCCCGGGGGGAGGGAGGGAGGATGTCTGGGCTCCGGGGGGGGGTAGGACGCCTGGGTTCCCGGGGGGGAGGGAGGGGGCGGGCAGGACGCCTGGGCTCCCTGCTTGGGGGGCGGAGGCGGGACGCGACGCCTGGGCTCCCTGCGACTCGTCTCTGACTCTCCCCTGGCTGCAGGCGGAGATGGGGACTCCCTTGGTGGCCAGTCGGGGCCGGCGCTTCAAGTGGGCCATCGAGCTGGGCGGCCCGGGCAGCGGGGGCAGGTGAGGGGCTGGGGCCGGCCGGGGGCTTGTTACGGGGGTGGGACAGCGGGTGTGGGGCCAGGCGGCTGGCAGCGGATTCCTGCCCTCGGAGAGGGGGTGGCCGGTCGAGGGTCTGCCCGGGGACCCCCAGATCAGACTCCAGGAGCTTGAAACATCCTGGGGGATCCAGAGGCTGGGATCCCCTCACAGCCTGCAAGGGGCTGGCCAGGTACGGGGGGCTCGTGAGGATATAGGACCCTGTCCCCCCCACCCCCTCCCTCCACACACACAACCACAGTTTATTAATGGCTACATCTCCCAGCCAAGCGCGTTGTCCCCCTCCAGCGTTAAGTGCGGCTGTTCCCCAGCTGCCCCACCCCAGAGCTGGCTGCATTCCCCTAGGTACACAAAGCTCCTGCCTCCTCCTCCTTCCCACCAGGGGCCGCAGCGACCGCAGCAGTGGCCAAGGCGAATCCCTCTATCCCGTGGGCTACTCAGACAAGCAGGTCCCTGACACCAGCGTCCAGGAGACCGACCGTATTCTGGTGGAGAAGGTACTGTGGGGGCCGAGAGCAAGGGGATGGGAACCCCCAGGACACCTGGGTTCTGTCTGCAGATGTGGGGTGCAAGGGGGTGGGACACCTGGGTTCTCTCCAAGAGGATGGGGTGGAGGGCTCAGAGCAGGATGCTGGTTGGGGGGGGGGTGGCGGCAGCAAGGCCCCTCTGACACATGTTCTTCCCCCCCCCAGCGGTGCTGGGATGTGGCGCTGGGGCCGCTGAAGCAGATCCCCATGAACCTCTTCATCATGTACATGGCTGGGAACACCATCTCCATCTTCCCCACAATGATGGTGTGCATGATGGCCTGGCGCCCCCTGCAGGCCCTCATGGCCATCTCTGCTAGTGAGTATCTCTCCCCCCCCCCGCCCCTTCTCTCGCCACTTCCTCCCAGCACCCCCTTCTGGCCATCTCTGCTAGTGAGTATCCCTCACATTGCTCCCACCGCTTGCCTACCTCTGCCCCCCCATGGCTATTTCAACCAGTGAGTATCAACCCCCCACCACTCCCCCAATCCGGGCCTGTTAGTGACTCCATGCACTCTCAGCTTTTCTCCCCCAACCCCACCCTGCTCCAGATTCCCAGCTGGGCTGGTGCCTCCCTGGCTCTTGCCCCCCCCAAGTCTGACTGTCCTCTCCCACCCCCAGCCTTCAAGCTGCTGGAGAGCTCCAGCCAGAAGTTCCTGCAGGGGCTCGTGTATCTGATCGGGAACCTGCTGGGGCTGGCGCTGGCTGTCTACAAGTGCCAGTCCATGGGGCTGCTGCCCACCCACGCCTCCGACTGGCTGGCCTTCATCGAGCCCCCTGAGGTGAGGGGGAAGGCTGGGGTGGGTGGGGGGGCTCAGCTCCTGGGGACAGTGTAGAGGTTTTTGGGCAGCAGGGGGGGCATGCAGGAAGATGGGGTAGGGGCTGGAAGGGCTGTACTGACCCCCTCTCCCCTCTCATTGCAGCGGATGGAGTACACAGGCGGGGGGCTGCTGCTGTGACCAACACCCCTTGCCCCTGGAGTGATCGCAGGTTTTCCAGGAGGACCTGGAGTCTCTACACCTCCTGCTGGGCTTTGAGCCCCACTACCCTCTCCTAGCCTTCCACCTCCTGGGGTGGGGGAAGAGGCGGGCAAATAAAGCTGCTGTGCAGAGGTGCCTCCAATACCTGCTCTGGGGGGTGGGAGGCAGAGTGCACCCAACAGGCACAATCTGGATCTTCCCTCCCATGTGCAAGTCCCAGCCCTTGTGCTCTCCCCTTCTCCCCCCCTCCCCTGCCTTCCAGCCCCCACAGCTACACTTAATGTATAAAATTTTATTCTTTACACATTTCTGGTACAGAGCAAAAAAAAAAATCCCTCCTCACCCCCAATACTGTAAACTGGGGCTTGACCCCCAATAAATTAAAAGCCCCACTCCCCCCAAAGATCAAGTAGTGGCTGCCAGGCCCTGCCTTCCAATTGAAGCTGTAGGGGGAGAGGAGATTGGATTTGCCTGTTTCAAGGCTGCCCTGGGGGTCAGCGTCTCCAGAAACCGCTTGTCTAGCCTGCCATGATTAGTGCTGAGAGACAACAGCAGCTGGGGGGTGGAACCTTATGTCCCTACCCTCTCATGATCCAGCAACCCCACCCCCAGATCAGCCCTATGGCTATGGGGCAGGAGTGAATGTGAAATAAAAAGTTAAGCCACACGTGTGATGAGTTGGTGGCTTCTTCTGGTTCTTAGCCCCACTCTGGCCCCTGCAAGAGGCACCCCAGGCATTAGGCCTAGGAAGTTGGATCAGTGACTGGCACTGGCCTGCCCGGAGCAGGCCCCATTACAGCAACTATGCTGCTTGCACACAAAACGGGGGGGAGAAGGGAGGAGGCCCACAACCCCCCTGCACTCCCCACCCTTCCACAGCAGCTGAAAAGGGAAAGGATGCAAAGCAGCTTTGGCACTATGTGGTGACGGGCACCATGGGAAATCTCTCCCATCCCTGCTTTGTGAGGGTTGCCCCATGGTGACCCTGCCCTGTTGGGTCTAATACCACAGTCCCTTTGGTGCCATCCCCTTTCTTGCCCTGTAGGAGTAGAGAGGTGGGGTAACTGCTCCATGGAGGTGTGCCCCTGCTGAATTTTGGCATGCCTCTTCCCCCCAGCCTGTCTAGAGGGCAGCAGTGGAATGAAGTGGCAGAGGCCAGTAGGGGGGCGCTCTAGGAGTAGATAGTGATGACCTCGCTGCCTCCCCCCCGCACCAGCAGCACCCGCTCCAGCCCCTCAGTCAGCACCTCCAAGAACTCCATGTCTGGGGGATGGGTTAAGGAACCAACACTGGCAAGACAGATCAACAGCGCTCCCCCCACCTACCCTCCTGGCTCCCCACGCCAAGGATACAGTTCTCATCGCCTGCAGGGTTGCGGGGCGGCCCCGGCATGTTGAGCAGGACCAGCTTTGCGTCGTGAGACTTGTTGACGATCACCTCGTTGAGTTTGACGGCCGTGTGCATGCGCCGCACATTGGACTGGTCCCTGCAGGGGGCGGGAGGATTAGCAGCGGCCACCGGGTGGGGGACAGCCAGACAGTGCAGGGTGGCTCCATGGGTGGGGGGTGTCCTGATGCCACCCCCGGGCTGAGGAAAGCATTTCTAGCCTCATGTTGGGGCAGCTCTATCACCACCTCCAGGGTGGATGGGAGATGGGGGGGCCGGTCCCCAGGGGCTGATGGGAAGCAAGAGGGGCTTACGGCTTCATGTTGAGCAGATCCTGCATGCCCTCCAGAGTCCGGGCCTTCTGCCCGCGGGCCGCCATGTACTTATCCTTAGTCCAGGTCATCTGCACCTTCTCTTGGTAGGTCTCCGTTTCCTCGTCCTCATCAGAGCCGATGCTGGTCAGGCGCAGCATGGAGTTGCGGTCCTTCACCAGCTGGGCCTGCGGGAAGCCTGGGGGTGAGTGGAGGGGTGCCCCATGGGGGAGGGGAGCAGCCCACTCCCACCCCTCAGTCCCAACTTACCTCCCGGTCCCGTTCCGTCTTGGAGAGCCGCATGTGCCGCAGCATCTGGGAGCGCTGCTCCATCATCAGGGTCCGCTCATAGGTGTAGGCCGAGATGTCGCTGTCATGCTGTATGGGGCACATGTGGCATGAGCTGAGGCCAGAGGTGCAACCTGCCCCACCCCCCTCCCAGAGCTGGCCTAGAACCCAGGAGTCCAGGCTCCCTCCCGCTCCAAACCCTGGACAAAGCTGTCCCCTGTGAAGAGATGGGGCCTATACCTGGGGCCCCCCCAAGAGAGATTCCACTCTTCAGCTGTGGCAGTACTGCCCCCTAGGGGCCATTCTGCCCATGTGCAGTCTCCCCCACTCCTGTGGGGGGGGGGGCACAGAGCATGGTGCTCTCCCCCCAGCTGCCCCCTCAAGTCTCTCACCATCTCCACCACCTCCACCTCTGCCTCAATGCGCAGGTGGTACAGGAAGGTGGCCAGGTCCTTTTTCATCTGGATGCTGTTGTCCTCCAGCTGGGCCACCGTGAAGATGCGGATGTTGCATTTACGCCACACCTGGGGACACGGGAGGGGAGGGGGGGAGAAGAGAGAGAAACCAAGCACTGGATGGGTCAGCACCCGCAGGTCAGCTCTCCAGTCCTGCTGCCCCAATCCCCCCTCCCCACACCGAGCCCCCACTGGCACCTTGTGCTGCTTGAGCAGGAAGGGCAGCAGCATGAGCATGCCTCCATCGTGGACGATCCACCACACGTCGATGTTGCCCTCAGCGAAGGGCTCCGCGTTGCCTGGGTAGAAGGCCACATTCTTGGCCACCAGCAGGGCCAGGTGAGCGGCTGTGGTGACTCGGACAGTGCCTATGGTGACAAAAGTGGGTTTAGGTCAGAGGGCACCAGTGGGGGAGAGAGGGGGATCCCCCCAAGCCCACACCCCCACGTACTGATGAAGGTCTTCCAGGCGCGGGCATCCTCGCTCTGGCGCCAGGCGTTGGGCCAGCCCATCACCACTGTGTTGTGCTTCATGCCGCCCAGGCCACAGGACTGGATGAGGTGGGAGATGCCCTCCCGCACCTTGGCTGCCACCACCAGCTGGTAGAAGCCCTTCACGCGCTCTGCCTCCATCAGGTGCTTGATGGTCTGCAAGACACATACAGGGGAGCAGGTAGAGGGCGCTGTGCTGCTGGGGCCTCTGCAAGGGAAGCCACAGCACCTGGGGGGGGCACCGTGCCGCAGAGAGCAGGGTCCGGGGCGCTCAGCAGAGGGTGGGTGTGTGCAGGCGGCAGGGGATGCTGTGCCACACAGAGCAGGGGCCAGGGGAGGTTCTACGGGGGGCACTGTCCTGGGGCTCAGCAAGGGACACCGTACTGCTGGCATGGGGGAGGCGCTCGGCAGGGGGCACTGTGCCACACGGAGCAGGGTGGTGGGGCGCTTGCCAAGGGGTATCATGCAGTGGGGTGTGACACAGCAGGGGGCACTGTGCCACACGGAGCAAAGGTCTGGGGGCAGGGGCTCAGGAGGGGGCACCGGGCAGCCGGTGGGGAATGGAGGAACTGTGGCATGGAGCAGGGCCGGGTGGCTTGGCAGGGGGCACCATGCTGCTGCAGGGAGGGGAGAGCGTCCAGCAGGGGGCACCGTACAGCAGGGTGGAGCTCGGCAGGGGGTGCTCTCTCCCCCTTCCCTGACCTGCTCAGCCGCCAGCGCCTCGGCGTAGTTCTCCAGGAAGTTGCCCACCATGACGGTGCCCACGATCGTCAGGCCCTTGCCCGCCTTGAGCTGCGAGGCAAAGGTCAGCAGGCGTGGGTGCTTCACGTGCAGGTCCTCGTCCAGCTTCAGCAGCACCAGCAGCTGGGGCCTGCGGGGAGCGAGGGGTCATGTGGGGGCCAGAGGGTGCTCACCCCATGGTGCAGCAGGTGTGGGGGGGCTCTCCTACCTCCAGTTCTTGGTGTGGGGGGGCCCCTCCTCCAGGCGCAGCAGGGCAAAGCGGGCAGCGCTCAGCGACAGGCCCCGGATGCCGTCACCCCACTCCTTCTCGGCTCTGGGGTGGGGGGAGAGAGAGACGGTGCTCAGCCAAAAGCCGTCCACCCCACACCGAGGAGACGGGGTCACGTGAGAAAGCTGGGGAAACTGAGGCAGGGGAAGGGACCTGGCCAAGTTCAGACTGGACAGAACCCCGGCGTCCTGGCTCCCAACCCACTCTTGTCCAACCACTAGACCCCACTCCCCTCCCAGAGCTGGGACAGAACCCAGGTGTCCTGGCTTCCAGCTCCCTCAGCTCTAACCCATGAGACAGGTCTTCCTGTACAGAGCCACAGCACTACATCCCGGCAGGGTGGCCACTGGGAGTAGGGGGTGTCTCCCATTACCACAGCTGCCCACAGGCCCCTGGCTGGCGGCCCCCAAGAAGGCGAGGGCTGCCTGCCCCATGGAGCCCAAGCCCCACTCTGCTCCCTAGCAGGCAGGGGATGGGGAAGCCGAGGCAGAGGGGGTGGGGAACTCCCCGAGGTCAGGGAGGAAGTGGGTGAACCCAGGAGTTCCAGGGGCGGCCCGTCCAGCCCAACGAGTGCCAGGCCCTGCAGGAGACGACGCACCCCTGGTACTCGATGTACTTGTAGATCATGCCGGCGATCACCATGGCGACGATAGCATAATACCAGGAGGACACAAACATGAGCGCCAGGCAAATGCTCATGCCCACAAATGAGAGCGCCCTGCAGGGGGAGGGAGAGAGAGAGAGAGAACAAGAACACCCAGGAGTCTGGACCCCCATTCACACTCACCAGGCCCCTCCCAGAGCTGGGGAGGGAACCCAGGAGTCCTGTTGCCCAACCCCCCCCCCACCCACCCACTAGACCCCACACCCCTCCCAGGGCTGGGATAGAACCCAGGCGTCCTGGCTCCCAGCCCCTCCTACTCTAACCACTAGACCCCACTCTCCTCTTGGTTCTGGGGCAGAACCCAGGCCCCTAGGCTCCCTTACCAGTGGTAGTAGCGAAAGCGGGGTCTCCAGTTGGGGGTGCGCAGCAGGGTCTGCAAGGCGCAGGCCAGATTGACAAAGAGGTAACACATCAAGAAGAACCTACGGACCCAGACAGACAAGAGACAGTCAGGGGGTGGTGCCTCGGGAGCTCCCCCTAGGGCACAGGCTGACATGCCACCACGAGATTCCCCGCTCTGGGATGCGGACACCAAATCCCAGCTGTGGGGGGAATCTGCCCCCTCCACAGAGTCCTGTCCACCTCCTCCCCCGCGTGGCTCGGCGAGGACCTTACATAGACAGGATGGGGGCCACCAGGTCCAGCGAGGCAATGAGGATGCCCAGCTCGGCGATACCCGCTGTCAGCAGCAGAGCCCACGTCGGCTCCCCGTTGGCTTTGCTATGGCCGAAAACCTAGGGCGACAGCACACAGGAAACCCACTTCAGGAAGGCAAGAATGCAGCCAGCTCTAGGGTGGGGCAGCTGGGGGACAGCTACACAAAGCCACACAGGGATGGCTCGCCCAGCACTAAGATGCAGCCAGCTCTGGGGTAGGAGCAGCTGGGTAACAGCCATACAGCAACCCCACAATGGGGATGGCTTGCCCAGCGCAGAGATGCAGCCAGTTCTGGGGTAAGGCAGCTGTGGGACAGCCGCACAGTGACAGCATGGGGATGGCTCGCCCAGCGCTGAGATGCAGCCAGCTCTAGAGTGGGGCAGCTGGGTACTGTGGGAGGGAGAGCAAAGCGGGGGCGCGCTATTACCCGCAGGAAGGGGATGATGTTGTCCTTGGCAATGGCCTGCAGCAGCCGGGGGGCACCAGTCAGGCTCTGCAGCCCAGCCCCGCACGTGGAGAAGAAGGAGCCGATGACGATGACCCAGGGTGAGGGCCAGGAGAGCGTCCCAACCACCAGGTTCCCGTGCACAGCGTCGCCAAACCTGCCAGCCGGAGAGGGACCGTCAGCCGGGGGGACTGGGCAGGGAGGATCCCCGGACAGGGGCTACAGACAGGAGGACCGCACAGAGGGGGGCCCAATGAGAAGAGGGGCGATGGGGACTCAGTGGAGGGGGATGAGGGGCGGGGGGGGGGCCCAGCGGAAGGCTGCTACAGGCTGGGGGGGAACCAATGAAGAGGCACTATGGGGACCCAGTGGAGGAGTGTTAAGGGCTTGGGGGGACCCCAAGGAAAGAGGACTAAGGGTTGGGGGACCCACACCCCCTGAGGAGGAGGCAATATGGGGAGGATGGGCAGCCCCAGTGGCAGGTGCCAGCGGGGACACCACAGGGCAGGCCCCCCAATACTCACTTGTCCCGCAGCACCACCCCTTCGATGCAGGCCCCAAACAGAACCACGTTGCTGAGATCTATGGCAGTGTGAAGTCAAGGCGGCCATGGCCCCAGGGTCACAGCAGGGTGGTCAGGGTTCCCCCCACATAGCCTCACCCCATGGGGGGGCCCTTCTCCACCCAGCCTCGTGTGGGCTCTGGCATGCTCTGACCCTGAGCAAGGCATGTCCTCCCCTGCCCTTGCCCCGTCCGTGCCAGCCCCCCTCCCCTCCACCACCACACCAGCCTTGGCAGGATACAGACGAAGGAGGTGGTGAGGATGGCCAGAATGGTGCCGATGGGGATGGATTTCTGAGCATCCTTCAGGTCTCCAGAGCGGTTCGAGCCAGCCATGATCCCTGCAGATATCGGCACAGGAGAAACGGCTGCCAGGTGAACACCCTGCACTGCTGTCCCAGAGGCCAGGGTTCTATTCCCTAGCAGTGGGAGCCTGCAGGGTCCCCTAGGGGTGATCGCCCCACGCTGCCATCCTGGACACCAGGGTCCTATTCCCTAGCGGTGGGAGCCTGCAGAGGCCCCTAGGGGTGATCGCCCTGTGCTGCTGTCTCGGACGCCAGGGTCCCCCGGCTCCCATCCCCCACGGCAGCCGTGCTCACCGGTGACAGAGGGGAAGAAGATGCCCACGAGCAGGGTAAAGGAGGTGGCGATGTCGGCTAACACGTACTCCTGGCTCATGGCCCCCAGCACGTCGACGGAGTGGGCCGAGGGCTTCTCGATGATCTCCCCCTTCTGCAGGTAGCTGCTCCACAGGTTCTCTGCAGGGAGGGAGAAGCGGCTAGTCAGCAGGGCTGTGGGGTGAAGCCACATGGGGTTGGACTATCCCGTCCCACAGCCACCAGGGTCTCTTGAGTCGGCACCCGGGCGTCTGTCTGTACAACCCAGGAATTCTAGCCGGTACCATGAAAACTGCCGGCCCATCCTTTGGCTGGGGTTCTGGGAGCGCCCCACGCTGCCATCCCTGATGCCTGGGTCCCATTCTCCCTCCCAATCTCCCGAATGCCCCACGCTGCCATCCCTGACGCCTGGGTCCTATTCTCGGTCCCAATCTCCCTAGCGCCCCGTGCTGCCATCCCTGACGCCTGGGTCCCATTCTCCCTCCCAATCTACCGAGCTGCAGTGCCTGCGTTTAAGCTACTGGAGTATCTTGGGGGTCAGTGCTGGTCCGGGGGCCTCAGAAAGAGGGCTGAGGGGCTCCGTAGCTGGCAGAGCTCGTGCCCAGATGGCACTATGCTGCAGCCGTGGCAGGCTCCCCTCACCACCGGCTGGTGGGAGGATCCGCCCAGCCATGCTAGGCCCTCACCGGTGATGATGCCGCTGGCCAGGCCCGGGATGCCCTGGATGGAGGTGACATTGTTGTGAGTGAAGTATTCATCGCAGGTGGCATTTAGCTGCTTGCTGGAGTTGCAGAAGAGGCCCCAGAGCTGGGTGGGCACCGTGAAGTTGCCCAGTTCCTGGGTCTTAGCGCAGATGTTGATGTGCCGGCCAGAGAGGGTGCGGTTCCCCAGCATACAGACCCTGTGCCGGGCGGGAAGGCAGATAGACACAGAGCCCCAGAGCATAGAGCCCCCTGCTGATATCAGCCCTGAGCAACCCCCCTAGGAGCACAGAGCCCCCCATGCACCCCTAGCAGAGATCAGCCCTTAGAGAGTCCCACCCCCAAGGAGTGCCAATCCCCCCCGCACCGCCTGCCAGCCCCCCCGCAGAGCCCGCCGGCACCTACGGGAAGCGTGGCGGGGCGAAGGAGGATTTGATGGCCCCGGCGTAGATGGCCAGGATGGAGACGATGACGCAGGCGAGGAAGAGCGAGGCAAACTTGTTAACGTAGCGCACGCCGACGAAGACCACTAGCACCATGAGGACGAGGAAGGCCGAGCCGTAGACCCGCATGTTGTTCAGCGTGGCTGCCGACTCCTTCAGCACGTCAGCACTGCGGAAAATGGCTGCCTCGGGGGCGATGTACATCTGTGCGGGGCGCAGAGAGAGATGTCACCTCCAGGAGGTGCCGGCTCCAAGCCACCCCAGGGCAGGGGGCCGGCTGGCTCACGGGGGTGGGGAATGGGACATGTCACACACACCATACAGACCCCAGTCCCCCAGGGGGCAGCATTCTCACCAGGAAGATCTCAATGGCTCCCAGAATGTACATGGCGGCGGCAAAGGTGGTGCCCAGATAGAAGCAGAGCCCCACAGCACCCCCGAACTCAGGGCCCAGCGCCCGGGAGATCATGAAGTAGGAGCCCCCAGCTAGAGAGAGAGGACAGAGACAGTCAGGGAGCAGCTAGGGAGATTGGGGTGTGCCCCGAGGGCTCCCCATCCATAGGTGCCAGGGCAGGAGATGCCCTGAGATGGGGGTCAGGAAGGAACCAACCACCGCAGGGAAGAACTGAGGCCTGGCTGATGGGATGGGGACGCCGGCCAATCCAGGAGAGAAGAATGGTCTGACCCACTCACCCGGCACGACTCCATTGGTGGCGATGGCACTCATAGAGATGGCAGTTAGCAGCGTCTGCGGAGAAGGTAAAAGAGGACAGCAGGTGGTGTTGTTAGAGGAACAGCACTGAATTGGTAGCAGACATCAGGTTTGCATGGCCTGCACCGAATGCAGCTGCCTCTGGGGTGGGATGGGGCAGCTGGAGAGGCCCAGTGAACAAGGGCTTGGAACCAGAAATGGTGGAGAATGACATCGCCAATGGTGGATGCAGAGCGGGCCTGGGAAGGCAGAACTGTATCGACTGAGGACGGATTTGGGTAGGACACCAGGGTTCGCGATCCTTAGAGAGCTCACTACACTCTTCTGGCTGGGACACTCCCTGTAGCACAGCGCCCAATAGTGCCATGCTAGAGTCAGCACTGCCCGCAAGGGCAGAGTGCCAGCGCCCCTTAGTGCCCCACTGAGGGCAGACACTCACGCAGCAGCAGCAGATGAAGACAATGGCAAAGGCCTGCAGCACACCGGCCGTGCCCACCACCCAAGTGAGGCGCAGGAAGAGGATGACCCCGAAGATATTCTGCAGGCAGGGCAGATAGACACCCATGAAGGTGCCCATCTGGGGCGTCTGCAAAGAGAGAGACTGTGGTTAGGGCAAGGAGTGCTGGGAGGCAGGACTCTGCTCTGGGAGGGGATAGACTAAGAGGGCTGGAGTCCTGCCAGTGCCCTTCAATCTCACCCCGCAGCCCCCTGCTATCCCATCCCTGGGCTCCCCACACTACCCTCCCAACCCTGCCAGTGCCCCTCCATCCCACCCTTCAGCCCCATGCCATCCCAACCCTGGGATCCAGCCTGGTCCCAGCTCGGCCAATGCCCCTCAATCCCACCCGCAGCCCCTCACCTTCGTGGGCTTCTTCTTGCCCTCTGTAATGTTCTCAGCCTCCTCGTGCTCCCGTGCCCCCTGCGTCAGGTTGGTGTAGTTTGCCATGCGGTTAAGCAGGGAGGACACCTTCGGCCGGGTATCCATTTCCTCCTGCAGGACGAGAGGGAGTGAAATGGGGAGCTGTCCCCATACAACCGACGCTGCCTGAGTCTGCAGAGAGCCTGAGCCCGTCGCTGGGATGCAGCCTGAGCCTGAGCCCATTGCTCCAAGAGGTGTCAACTGCCTACGTGCGTCTCAAAGGAGTGTGAACTTGAAGCCCCGCCACCCCTATCCCAGCAGCAGAGAACCAGTCAGAGGATGAGCACAGCGGACCCTGGCTGCTGGATTAGTTCTGGGGGAAGGGTCAAACCCCCAGGCCCTGTTACCCCATCATGGGTCAGGGCAGCATCACAGCTCCTGGATGGACATGAACCAGGCTTCAGCCTCTTAGCACTGGCCACCAGGGGGCAGCAAATGACCCCCTTCCCACTCTGCCCTGGAGTGAGCCTGCCCTCTCCTCCCTGCCTGCGGGGAGCAGATTCCACCGGGGGTACCTCGAAGAGCGCCAGGTTCTTGTCGAAGTACTCATCCCCATCCTCGTAGCTGGTGTTGTTGAGATAGATGTCTTTCTTGCGCCCGGGGTCTGAGGAAAAACAAGGGGGACAGGGAGAACCCAGTGTGAGGTGCAGTGAGCTGGGGGGTCTCAGCCCTGTACCAGCTTACCAGGGTTCTCCAAGAGCCCAGCCATTCACCACTCCCTCCTGGCAGGGGGGCCGCAGCACCAATTTACAGACACTCACACCTCTACAACGCCTCTGGAATGGAAGGAGACTGAGGCACAGCATCAAGAGTAGAACCCAGGAGTCCTGGCTCCTAATCCCACCCTGCTCTAACCCACTAGACCCTACTCCACTCCCAGGGCTGGGGATAGAACCCAGGAGTCTTGGCTCTCAGTGCCCCTTTTTCTAATCACTAGATCCCAATTCCACTCCACTCCCAGGGCTGGGGATAGAACCCAGGAGCCCTGGCACCCAGCCCCCCGGGCTCTAACCTGTGGTCTCACCCTCTCTCTGCCCCTTGCGAGAGGTGAGTCAACAGTCAGGCTGCTGCCTGCTCAGAGGAAGATTCCTAGCTGGGCTGGGCAGAACAACAACCTGTTCCTTTATTGCCCAGCCCAGGCCCCCCGGCCATGGAATCACAGGCAGATGCCTGCACAGTATGAACCTGCAGCCGCCTCCGCACGTTCAGCCGGGAGGCAGCAGAACAGGAATAACAACTCTCTACTACCTGGGGGGCAGGGTGCCAGAGAGCTCCCCAGGCCCCTTCTGCTGCCCACGGCTCAGGATGGGCCTCTGGGGCGGTTGGCAGAACACTGCCCAGGTTTAGCTCGCCTGGCACGGCTCTCACTATGAGAGTGCCCCCAACCCACTCCCTGAGCACAGCGCCCCCCAGTGCTGCACTGGGGAACTGGGGCCAGCACTGACTGCCAGGGGAGAGTGCTCCCACCCCACTCCCTACAGCACAGCACCCCCCAGTGCTGCACTGGGGAACTGGGGCCAGCACTGACTACCAGGGGAGACCCCCACCCCACTCCCTAAAGCACAGCGCCCTTAGCACCGCTCTGGGGCAGCGTAAGGTCACCCCCCATGGGCACTGCTGTTTGTGCAGCTGCCGGTGGCAGGGCCTGAGCAGCTCAGCTGGCCTCGGTGTTTGCTTTGTACACAGCACAGGGAAAGCCATGCTACCAGCCAACCGCCGATGCGGGACAAGGTCAGCGGAGAACAAGATACTAACAAGTGAGCCCCACGGCACCCAATCCACGGGCTGGGGGCTCCCCAGCAGGAAAAGCCAAAGTAGACTACTTCAGCATGGCATTAGGTGGCATTGTGCTGCAGAGATCAGAGGCTCAGTAGGGGGCGCTCTCCCCTCCCAGTCAGTGCTGGCCCCTGGGGGTGCGGGCTTCGTAGGGGCATTCTCTCCAACACCCCAGTGGCTTAAATAAAACCCAGGAGTCCTGTCGCCCAGTTCCAACAGACCAGAACTCCTCTCTGACTGTAAAATCGGGCTGAGAAGGACCATGGACAAAGCCACACCTCAGTTCTGGGCCTGGTGCTCAGGCTGCAGGTGCCTGCAACGATCCAAGGAAGAGCAGATGGGTACGAGGAAAGAGGGGAATTAGTAGCAAGGGGTATGTAAATTACCCTCTCCCTAGGGTAGTCTAATCGGGGGGGTGAAACACACATGCACACACAGAGCAGGGCTTCGGCAGGGGGGCCGCAGGGACAGACACACACAAAGCAGGGCTCATCCCCTCCAGCAAGAGGCGATAGGCACAAATGGACACACACACAGGCTCGTTCTGGCCAGGAGAGAGAGACACACAGGACTCCTTAGCAATACCATACCTAAGAGCTGACACTGTTCCCCTGTGATGGAGGTTTGACTCACGTCTGAAAATCAAACAGAAGATGGGAAAAAATGAATCACAAAAGAAAAAAAAAAGAATGAAAAACAAAACAAAAAAAGACTGATAAAATATATTTCCTCCCACTGATACATGTTAGCAAAGAAAGGGAAATGAGCAAAAAATCTGGGGGTTTTAGAGCATGATTTCAAAACCAAAAAGTAGCTGCAATAATATAAAAAGAAACCAGCGCAATTATATAGCAGAGTTCAGGGAGTGGGGGATGGGGCCTTTCTCCTCTAACAGACACCAGCTGCAACCTGACCCCAGAGCGGGGGACTGACTGGCTCACAGGGGTCAGGAATGGGAGATGGGGCCTTTTCCCTCTAGTGGGCACTGATTCCAGGGTGCTCTATGCAGCAGGGTAGGAAACTTGTCAGTCTCCCGCCCAGACACACACACAATAGGCTGGACCCCAGAGGGGCACAGAGCGCCAGTCTCCCAAGATCGGACTCCTCAGATCTTTCCCTGTCACCTAAACCCTCAAGCAGCAGAGAGCAAGGAGACTGAGGGAGGCGGGTGGCTGGGCGACGGTTGCCCTGGGTCAGGCTATGAATCAATCCTTTGTTGAGCCTCCCCCCCCACAGCTGGGGGCTCTGGAAGAAGGATTCACCATAGCCCACGTGCTGCCGGGAGGGAAAGAAAGAGACAAAGAAGGGAGAGAGAAAGAGTCCAACCCCACAGCTCCCCGGGCTGTGTCTGTCCCCTGGCCCTGCTGCTCAGCTGCCCAGCCGATGAGGCAGCGTCTGGCGCCAGATTGGGGATTTTGTCCCTGCTCGCTGGGTCGGGGAACGGCCCAGGATAATTGGGGTTTACATGGAAGCAGCTGGGATCCTGCCCTTTCCAGCCACCCGGAGAACAGATCTGTCCCAACGCTGCCCCCGCTCCAATTCACACCCTGCCCCAGAGGTGGTCCTGTTTCGGGAGCAGGGAGAGAGAAAAGCAAGGCATTGGACCACCTGTGGGTGTGGAAAAGGGTCCCTCAATACCAGGGGTCAGTGCCTTAGGACACCATACAGGACTCCTGGGTTCTATCCCTATTTACAGACACTTGATCCTGTGGCCAGTGCTTGAGCTGCATTACATTCCCACTCCACGGAGCTAGGTAGATTTTCTGTCACTGACCCCCTATCCCACATTTATATTTTCTGCTGAGAAAAGAACCCAGGAGTCTTGACTCCCAGCCCCTCCTGCTCTAACCACTAGACCCTCTGCCCTCTGGGAGCAGGAACAGAATCCAGGAGTCCTGGCTCTCTGCACGCCATCTGAGTGGCTGTAACTGTGCTGCCCAGAGCTGGGAGTACCTTCATAGGCCATCTCCTCTCCATCTAGCAGACAGGCAGCATGAGCCCTGACAAGCAGAGGGCGGACTGGCAGGAAGCCAGGGGCTAGGCTTGGGATATAATCCCTGACGCTGCCCAGGCTACAGCCTGCTCTCCCTGCTGGAGCTAAATCGAATTAGCTGGGCTGCTGCGTGACATGAGGCCTGTTCCTGCTCAGCCACTGGGCCGGGGGGTGGGGTGGGTGGTTACGTACTTAGGAACACGGGGCCTTTCCCCTTCAGGGGGCACTTGCCCCGATCCAGCCCCAGGGTGGGGGAATGGCTGGACATTCCCCATCTCCCTAATCCCAGAGGTTGGGATAGAACCCAGGAGTCCTGGCACCCAGCACCTCCTGCTCCAACCACTAGACACCACTTCTCTCCCAGAGCCCCAGTGAGAGCTCAGGAGTCCTGACTAGGGAGCTGGATTAACACGCGGGCTTTGTATAAAGTCTTCCAGCTGCAGCTCAGAAAAGTCACCTCAGCCATGTGCAATGCCCAATTGAGATCCGGGCACAGTGGGTGGAAGATACTGCAGGGAGTATTTCCCAGGCTGCACAGAGCCTGCTTTAGCCAGGAGGGGGCAGGGAAAAAGAAAGAAAGAATGAAAAAGTCAGACAGGAGGAAAGAATGAAAATGTCAGAGAAATGGAAGGCAATTCCCTGCCAGGGGAAGGAGCCAAGCCAGCACCGACTCCTCTGTGCAAGCCCAGAGCAGGGGCAGATGCAGCGAGAGCTTCCCCCAGTGTGCACCCTCTCCCAGGAGCGCCCCCTCTAGGTCGACAGGGGAGGCCAGTCTCTGTGCCAAAGGTGAGTGCAAACCCAGTGCTCCAGCCACTGAGCGTAACTGATTATTGATTAGGAACCACAGGGAGCAAGGCAGAAAGGAAAGGGTTAAGCACACGGGTGGGGGTGGGGAGGGGAGGTTTGCCATCTAATGAGGTTCTCAGTCAATCCAGATTCACGCGCATGGAGGGATATAAAAACACTGCACTGGGATCACTGAGATGCAGCCACCTCTGGGGCAGGGCAGCTGGGTAACAGCTGCACAGCAACGCTGCACTGGGATCGTTCGCCTAGTGCTAAGATTCTACAGTCACCTCTGGGGTGCAGATTGACAGCTACATAACAATTGCACAGAGAGACTGCACACAAATGGCTCGCCTGGGACTGAGATGCGGCCACCTCTGGGGTGGGAGCGGTTGGGTAACAGCCACACAGCGCTGCCATGTAGGTTTGGGACAGAGAGTGAAGGAGGGTGCCATGTGGCTTGGACCAGAACAGAATCACCAGAGCCTGAATTTGCCAGGACAATGGGGTTCACTCCCTCTCTCTTGGTGGCAGGGGCTGTCTAGAGTCTGAGCAAAAACAGCACCCCCCCTTTAACTACCCCCATCACCCCTGCTATGACAGAAGCCCTTAGTGCCCATCATCAGCTGCATCAATCCCCAAGGGGACAGTCACCCCGCAGATCCCTTCCCAAAAACTGCCTGTCCAGATCCACACTGGACCCAAATGCACACCAGCCCTGTACAGGTAACAGCACAGGGCAGTCCCACGGCCCGTTCTCTGTCAGGGTCTCCGGGCCTGATCCAAATCCATGGAAAGGTTCCACTGAGATTGGAGGGCTCAGGATCAGACCCCACAGCACATTACACAGTTCCCCCACATCCTCACACAGCAGAGAAAGTGAGGCCCAGAGCAGGGGAAGAACCAGCACAGAAAGCACACAGCTACAAAGAGGAAGAACCCAGGAGTCCTGGCTCCCCTGCTCTCTAATCCACTAGACCCCACTCCCCTTCCAGTGGTGGGAACAGAACCCAGGAGTCCTTGCTCCCAGTGCCCCTGCTCTAACCACTGAAGCGCACTTCCTTCACTAATCAGTAGCGGAGCTGTGGTTGGTGTTTAACTGAAGATCATGCAACGGGTTGGGAAGAGCCCAGGGGAGACTGCTATGATGGTTGAGGAAGGCAGGCTGGGGAGGGTGCTTGGATCTGGGGGGCAATCAGGAGGCAGGAGACAATAAAGAGATACTGCCCCCCCCCCCCCCCCCCCCCCCCCCCCCCCCGAGACAGAGGGGGCAGCTCAGGTAGGGGAGGAGCAGCCAAGAGACAGACGCAGGTAAAGCAGATTAATGTGGCGTGTTTACATGACGGCTCACCTGATACCGTGATCTCTCTGGGCATCCAGATGCCAGCCCTGTTGGCTCCTTCCTGGGACCCTTCTTCCACCCCACCCTCCTCATCATCATCCACCTTGGTAACAGTGAAGTGAGGCATTTTCTGGACTAACTTTTCCCCCCAGCACCAGCAAAGAAAGGGACTGGAAGCGCCGGGATCAGGTGACCGGCAGGCTCCACGGGAAGAGGCGGGATGGGGGGGGGGGCGTGTTCCCCTGCTGTGTGTGTGTGTATATTACTGGCACTAAGAGGATTAACTGCTCCACCTACAACCACTTCCACTCTCCCGCTGAACTGTAGCAGGCAACATGGGAGAGGCAGGGACCCGCACAGGCCCAGCGCTGCGATGCAGCCAGCTCTAGGTAACAGCCCCACAGCTACTGTCTGGATGGAGAAGTCTGTAGCCACCTGAGCTGTAGCATGGCTTTCAGAGAGGCAGGATGGAATCAGATCAGGACTCCTGGGTTCTATCCCCAGCTCTGGGAGAGGAGTGGAGTCTAGTGGGTTAGAGCAGTGGGGCTGGGAGCCAGGACCCTTGGGTTCTGTTCCCAGCGCTGGGAGAGGAGTGGAGTCCAGTGGGTTAGAGCAGGGGCACTGGAAGGCAGGACTCCTGGGTTCTATCCTTGCTCTGGGAGAGGAGTGGGGCTAGTGGATTACAGCAGGAGAGGTGGAGCTGGGCAAACTCCAGCACATGGTGGCCTTTTCCCTACATACCCCACCCTCTTTATTTATACCATGAAGGAGCAGAGATTAGGGAAAAGGTCTTAATCAGTTCAGGAAATGCCTAAACGGGGAACTCCAGGCCAGGGTGAATGACAAACACTGGGTTGGACCCACACCACTTCCCACTCCAGAATGGGGTTAGCCACACACCCCTGCCCTGAAATGACCCCTTGAGAAAGCAAAGGAGAGCCCTGGCACAGTGGCCCCTTCAGTTCTCTGTTGAGGCTTCCCACCCCCTGCATTGGCTCAGGTGAATTAGTTACCTTAGCAAACTGCTTTGAGATGATCAGGGAAAAGGGATTAGGGACAGAGCAATGTAGGGCTTGTCTACACTACAAAATTAAGTCAATTTAAATTAAGTGGACATACAGCCACCGCAGTATTTAAAGCGGTGGTTCACATCGTCACCAGGGGCGCTTCCACTGATTGAAAAGGGACATTGCTAGATACTGACAGCTGGAGCCCGGCAACCCTGGGGCTGACAGCCTCAACTGTAGACACGGGGCTCACAGTTGCCCCTCCCACAGCTGTTAGGCCGATGCCGGGCTCACAGCTGGGCCTCCCCCCCACCCTGGCATTGACAGCCCCAAGGGTGAGCCCACAGGGGGCTCAACTGCACAGCAGGGAGCCTACCAGCAGTGAAATTGACATTATTGTCAGTTTCATGGCTGCTATTATTTCAAATTTTGGCTTGGGCTTGGGATGTCAGCCTGTGGGGAGCTCACAGCTGGAGTCCCCTCCCCGCTGAGCTGACAGAGGGAGATGGAAAGGAAATGTGAAATAAAAGCAGCCGTGAAACTAACAAGGATGTCAATTTCACTGCTGGCAGGCTCCCTGCTGTGAAACAAAGACAGATGCAGGCTCACAGCTCTGGCTGTCAGCCTGGGGGCAGCAGGGGGAGCCTCCCACTGTGACCCCCCCACTGCTGGGGCTGATACCTGGAGCCCCCCTGCTGCCACCCAGTGAGAGACTGGGGGAGGGCCCAGGATCATGCTCTCCTTCCCCACCCCTTCAATCCCTCACGGGGAGGGCTGGAGGGTGCTAACAGCTGTCAGCCCAGCTTGAGGCTGACAGCCAACAGCCGACATAAATAACGCAGTGTCTACACAGACACTGCGTCACCCTTACTACATCGACATAAGCCCTACGCCTCTCGTGGAGATGTAGTGAGCCTACTTATTTCGGCAGAAGCACCACTGTAGTGTAGACACAGACATAATTAGGTCGACGTAAGCTGCCTTATGTCCACTTAAGTATGTAGTGTAGACCTGGCCTCAGTTCCCTTATTAGGGACAATTCGCGTTCCCCTGTCAGGCATCTTTTAACTTTATTTCTGCTGCCATCAACAGGCCAAACCACACATTACACCACTGTATATTGACAGGTTTCAGAGTAGCAGCCGTGTTAGTCTGTATCCGCAAAAATAACAGGAGTACTTGTGGCACCTTAGAGACTAACAAATTTATTAGAGCATAAGCTTTCGTGGGCTACAACCCACTCAGAGTATGTATTAATACCTGGGGGAGCAAACAACTGTGCATATCTCTCTATCTGTGTTACAGAGGGCGAACAACTTATGAGTTTGCCCTGCATAAGCTTTATGCAGGGTAAAACGGATTTATCAGGGTTTAGACCCCATTGGGAGTTGGGCATCTGAGTGCTAAAGACAAGCACACTCCTGTGAGCTGTTTTTGGGTAACCTTGCAGCTTTGGGTCTGTGTTGAAGTGGACTGGAGTGTCTAATTCAGCAAGACGGGGTGCTGGAGTCCTGAGCTGGCAGGGAAAACAGAAGCAGGGGTAGTCTTGGCACATCGGGTGGCAGCTCCCAAGGGGGTTTCTGTGATCCAACCCGTCACAGTGGCTTCTTGCATCCGAAGAAGTGAGTTGTAGCCCACGAAAGCTTATGCTCTAATAAATTTGTTAGTCTCTAAGGTGCCACAAGTACTCCTGTTATTTTTACCACTGTATATGTTCAAGTGGAATAGTCAGGGGGGCTGCAGGTTGGGATTGAGGGGCACCAGCAAAACTATTGGGTTGGGGGAAGACAAGGGCTGGGGCAGCAGATGCTGTAGGTCGGTATTGAGGGGCACCAGCAGAGGTGGGGGAGCCCAGGAATGGGATAGCAAGGGGCTGTGGGTCAGGACTGAGGGGCACCAGCAGAGCTGTGCGGGAGGAAGAGGCCAGCGGCCAGGGCTGGGATAGTTGGGGGCTGGGTGTAATTTGCTAACAACCTCTAGTCCTGACCCAGAGCCCCACCTCCTGTTCCAGTTATGCCCTTTCAGTTCCTCCTCCGCTGATCTTTGCCCCAGCCGCGCATGCCCACACAGCTGTGTGATGCCCTAGAACAGAGAGGGGCTGAGGTCAGATCACACACTATGGGGCAGAACTGGTGTCACCCCCCGGGGTTTCTCTTTGGCTGCCACAGAATCAGGACTGGTTCCAGGCCTCCGCTGCCCCTGCAGTCAATCCAGAGTCACCTCTGACTGCAGTGGAGACCTGACTCCATTTTGTTCGCAGCACAGAAAAGACACACATCCATCTAGCTTGGACAGAGGAATCAATGGATGGGGAGGGCCAGAGAGCCAGCTGTGAGCATCTGGGATTGGGGGGGGGTAATCAGGACCTAGCCCCTAGCACAGAGGGAGCCCAGGACAGCACTCCACCCCCACCCTCACAGGCTGCGAGCTCTCCCAGCCCTATGACTGTTTGAGGAACAGAGAACAGGCGTAGGCGGGAGCCGCGAAGGGCCATTTGTCATGGGATGATGGGAAGGAGGGGGCTGTATGAGACAGGGACTGTGGGTGAAATAAATAAGTGGGGAGACAGCTCAGCATGGAGGGCAACAGGCACTCGTGTCGGTGGGTCAAGCGGCCCCCATTCACGAGTGTGCGTTGAACAGCAGCAGAGCACTACACACGGGTGTGGGTGTGTAAGATCACGTAAGCTCTATGCACCTGTCTCTGTGCATGCATGAGCCGCTGTTGAAAACAAGTCAACCCCATGCACACGTGTGAGCTTGTACATCTGTGTCTTTGTGCATGTACTGAAAAATCCAGGAAGTTGTGTGTGTCTGTCTGTCCGTGTTCTCGCTCATCGCAGCCTTGGGGCCACATCAGATCATGCAGCAACCTCCTCCCCAGTTCCCATCCGCTCTCTCTCTGCCCAAGGACAAAGGACGTCCAGAAAAGCACAGCCAGCCTCTCCCGGGAGATAAACAGCTGAGGTGCTGGGGACATTAAGTCCCCGAGGCGCTAGCTGTCTGCTCATCTCTCCTCCTGCTGCAGGCCTGCCACACACACACGCATTCGTGCTCTCCAGTTCCTGCAGCGCCTGTTTTGTTGCTTCACTGGGCTTCAGGCCTCTGATGGCAACAAAAGGGCCCCCTTTGAGGAACACAGCGGCCTTGATGTCTTGTAAAACGTCTATGACGTTACCAGGGTATTGTCCCACAAGTGATCCCACAGAGGGAACGGGGAGCACAGGACCGTCCCGGGTGCTCCAGTGGAGAAGGCTCATAGGCATGCAAGTATGAGCTGGACAATATCCATAAACAAGCTCTCCCTTCCTGACCCCAGGCTGATCAGCTTTGCCCTGGAGCATGGCCATCCATGAGCCTCTTATGACAAGGGGGAGATGAACAGACCTGGTGCCAGGGCAGACTCACAATTGCACACATGTTCACTGCAAAAGCTGGGAATGAACCCAGCATCCCAGCAAATCCCAGCTCTAACGAGTCACCTCCGCCTCCTTTAAATCTCTCCTTGCAATTTCAATCCGATCCAAAGTCCTCTTTCACTTCCTGTCCTAAACTCTTGGTGCTGTTAAAGCAGCAGCCATGCTCCACACCAGAGGCAGCTGCATCTCAGCACTGTGCTTCATTATTAGACACTGTTACACAGCTGCTTCACCCCAGAAGTCGATGCATTTCAGTACTGGGTGAGCAATCCCTGCGCACAGATCCTATGAGACAAACACGGCATTTATGTGCACGTACTGCAGATCACAGCATTATCAGGCCTGTCACATAACCCACGCTGGGAGGCCCCGAGAGGAGCCGTGACTCTGAATTAGTGGTGACCAAAACCCCACCACCAAGTTCTAGGACTCATCTCTCATCTGAGTCTGCATGAAAAAGGGAATCAACAGGATTAAAGGGAAGTTCAATTCTCCCGAGTCATTTCCGCTGAGTCTTGCTCAGCATTTCCCATGCAGGAAAAAGGCTGAAGAAATAAGGATACTGGCTGAGTCAGTGATAGCAATAGAGTCAATGCACTATAACCCTCTGTGAAAACACAACCCCATCCAGCCACACCTATCTTAAAGCTGGCAACCAAGACACCTCACCCCCAAAATGAAAGCTGGAAGTGTGTTCCCATTTGCTCACAACAAACGGGAAGACCAAAGCATTTAGGAGGCAACTGATGGGCAGTGACAGAGAACTGGCAAGACAACTGCACCTGGTGATGCACTAGCCACCATAAACTGGCCCACCCCACTGCAGCCATGAATTATTGTGGAGTCACCCATAACTGATCCCCCTCCATCTCCAATGCACCCATGAGTCATCCCTCTCTAATGCAGCTGAAAGAGGTCTCCTTCCATCTCCAGCACACCCAGCAGTTGCGCAACCACAAGTTGGCCAACAGATAGATGCATTGCAAGTTGAGTGTGCCATTTCCAATGCACCCATCAAGTTTCTTCCTCCACTTCCAATGCACCCCTAAGTTGCAGTGGACGCATCCAACATCCCCTGGAGATGTCCTGCTCTAGCGCCAATGCACAAAAACTGTCCACCTCATTGCATCCATGTCTCTCACCACTCTCCCACAAGATGTCCACCTCCAATGCACCCATGTCTCCATCCACCCTCCCACACCAGCCCAAACCACCACAGTGGTAGCCACATCAACACTGGTGACTTCCCAGCTTCTCGTGCTCATGCACATAACCGGCGACGTACCGCCTACCTTCTGCCACGTCATGGGGGTTGGACGTCCTGTCGCTAGCCGGTTCGCCCGCCACAGTGGCCCCAGAGGTGGTGGCCCCTGAGAAATCACTCATGCCCTCACTGCGGCTTGTCTCAGGGACACTCTCCCGGGAGCTGAAGCGGACCCGGGAGCTGGAGCGGGAGCTGAGGTCCGGACTGGTGTCAGAGAGGCCTGGGATGTCGTCAATTTTCGTAGGGGTCACCATGAACCGGACGGAAGCCATTTTGGCAGGAGACCGTTGGCGCTGGTGCATGCGTGCGTGGAGAAATGTCAACTTCCTGGAAGCTTTAAATTCTAATAATCCAGAAACAATAACAAATAGAAGGGAAACGATAATTTAGGAGGGTAACGAAATGAGTGGGGTAACAGCAGGCTCCACCACCAAATGGATTCATGTCTAGGGTGGATTCTCAGCGGTCTGGTGCAATGTGGTGCCCAGACATCCAGTGGTTATCAAGTGAGTTTTCCACAGGTGTGGCTAAAGGTGGAGCACGGGAGGTGACCCATGGTTTAACGTGCAAATATTTCACAGCTGTCTGATTTAGTCAATGATTTGTTTGTCGGAGGCCCTAGCCCGAGGCTTTGGCATGCAGACAATCCTTGGAGAAGTGCACTGCAGGGCCAGTATGTGCAAGGAGAATGTCTCACAAGTCCTGGGGCAAGCACTTGTTTGCAAATATCCTGCAGGGAAGGTGATTCGAGGAAGGGGTCTGTTGGTTATGGAAATGAGACAGTGCAAGGAGGCAAAAGAATTTTATAAGGTCCTAGTGCAATGATGGAGGCAGAAGAGAACAAGAGATCCAGGTGCGAGGAGGAGAATTACCCACCGGTTTCTGGTGTAATGTGCAAGGAAAGCAAGTATCCTAAAGAGTTCTGCTGCAAATATCCCACGTGATCCTGGTGCAACAAGAAGGTGAAATAGCTCAAGGGTCCTGGTGCAGGATGGCAGCTATTCTACACGGTTCTGGTACAAGAAGGTGGAGTATCCTAGTCCAAAGAGATGATTATTGCACAGAGTCCTGGTGCAAGGACATATGAAACTATTCCTTGAGGTCCTGGTAGGGTTATGGTGCACGAGTATTCCTGCTGCAAAAACGTACAACTTTTCAACGGGGTCCTGGTGTGAGAAGACAACTATTAAATGTCAGCCTAGTGCAAGGACACACAATAGCACAAGGCAATATGGCTATTCCAGAGGATCCTAGGGCAAGGGCCCACAAACTCCCTACAGGATCCTGATGAAACTCACATGAAGGCATGCAGTCATGCAAGGGTGAGAAAATCCCACACGTGAACATGTGAAGCCCCCATATAGTCCACATACAGGGGATATAATTATGCAAGGGCATACATATCACCAATGTGTCAATGGGGCAAAGGCGTGCAAACCCACTGCAGGACAGGGATGATGGTGCAAGACCTCCAGTGTGTTGGGGCAGCGATAGAGTGAGGATATACAAAATCCTAGTGAGAGGGACGATTGTGCTCAATCCCCAAAGAGGAGGAATGATGGTGCAAGGAATGTTTAAAACCCTTATGAATAAATCACTGGGGCAAGGGCATTCATGAGCTCTGTGAAGAAAACAATGGTGGCAAGGGATGTGGGTCTCTCAAGTCACTATTGGAAGGGTTGTGTGAACCCCATAAGTGGAACCAATGGTGCAGAAGTCAGGCAAGCCCCCTGTGAATTGGTGCCAGGGCATGCAAAAGTCTCACGGGGGGATGGGGGGAACCAGTGGTGCACGGGCATATGAGAACCCTATGAACAGGTCCATAGTGTGGGGGTGTGCAAAAGCCCTGTGAGGGAGCAATGGTGCAAGGGACACACAAGCCACATGTGGGGGAACCAGTGGTGCAAGGGGTATGCAAGAGCCCCTTATGCAGATCATGGATGTGAAGTCTGCACAAGAGCCCTGGGGGAGGGGGGGAGATGGTGCAAGTGGCATACAAGCCACATATGGGGAAGTGATCGTGCAAGGGGTGTGCAAGACCTTCACACACAGGTCATTGGTGCAAGGAGCATGCAAGAGCCTTGTGAGGGAGCAATAATGTAATGGTGTGCAAGTCACATATGGGGACCTGATGGTCAAGGGATATGTGAAAGCCCCATGTTGGTGCAATAAGGGGAGGGGTGTGCAAGAGTCTGTGACCAGGTCAGTGGTACAAGGGGTTGTACAAGACCTCCCCCGAGGGCGGGGCGATGGTATGAGGAGTGTAGGAGACCCATACTGCCCACTTGTTTATGGGGGGCTCACACTCCGCGTGCGCAGCAGCCCCCCGCCCCGCGGTGCCCCCTCGCCCGAAAGCGCGGGAAAAGCCCTGGGCAGCCGTCGGGGACCGTTAGTTGTTTACCTTTAGCGCGCGCCGGCCTCTGCTCCCCAGCGTTCCACAGGGTCCCCGCGCGCCGGGGCTGCAGCTCCTGCTGCCGCTCGCGCTGTCAGCTGCCGGCTTCAGTGGAGGAGGGGATGATTCGGAGGAAGCGCGTTTCCCCCACCCCTTTTTCAGCACATGCGCAGACCCGGAGAGCTGGGGCTATTGCTGGGCTTCAGTCTAGTTCTTTATGGGCGGGGGAGGAGCGGGGTCAGAGGTCATGAGTGGAGGGGGACTGCCACAGCCCGGGGACTGCTGGGAGTCGTAGTTTTCTGAAGGGAGGGGGCGGGCTAGGGGCAATGACAAATGTGGAAGGGGAAAATGTGGGAGAGGGGCATTAAGGGTCAGGATTAATGGGGGCAAATGTGGGGGGCATTTGGAGGCACAGCAGAGAGGCAAATATGGGGAGGGGCAAATTCAGGGGGTGGGCTTTACAAGGGCAAATGTGGGGGGAAGGGGTATTTGAGGCATTAGGGTCTGGGGCAAATTAGAGGAGGGGGCATTTGAGGGATAAGGAAAGGCAAATGCAGGAGGGGAGTGAGGGGCAGTGGGAGAGAGAGGGTAACTGTGCAGAAGGAGCTATTTGGGGGACAGAGGAGGGGAAGGGCAAACGTGGGGGCTTTGGGGAGCTGGCAGTCTCTGGGGAGAGGGGGGGAGCAGTGTGTGTGGTGGGTAGTTGGGGGTCACCCCAACTTCCTGCCTCCAGCCTGACAGGGTTTTGATACCCCCCCCACCCCCATAGTCTCTCCAGGGATCAGGCTGCTGTTGATGTGAGCTGTCCCATAAGGGGCCCCAAGCTGAGCCCCTTCCCGTTCATGCCGGGAATGGATACCACTCTCACTCCTCTTCCGGCAGGAGGCAGACTGGCACAGCCCGCAGGGCCCCTGACACGCTGCCTCCGCTGCTGGTGCTTGCCGAGGGGCCTGAGGCAGGGAACCCGCCGCCAACAGCTCCAGCTGGCCATCAAAGGCTGTCCTGGGGCCCTGTGAAAGGCACTGCAGGGAGCACAGCTCCTGCCAGCCCCGATCCCCCCCACCACACACAGCTCTGCCGTGCCCCACTCCTGACCCACAGATCCCTGGGATTTCCCCACCTCAGCTCTGCTGGTGCCACTCACTCCCAACCTGCAGCCCCTCACTATCCCAGCCCTGGGCTTTCCCGCACAGCTCCGCAGCCTTCTGGTGCCAGGTATGGCGCCGGGACCGAGGTGCTGCCCCTTTATTCTCTGCCAAGCCCTGGTCCCCTCGACGCTGCCTGTGAAGTGGGCAGAGCTGGCCCAGGGCCAGAGGGAGCAGACGAAGCATGTGGGACATGTCCAGTTGCGTTCTCTGCACTGGGAGGAGGAGCGGGGTCTCCTGGCCAGCTCAGGGGGCTGGGAACCAGGACTCCTAGGTTCTCTCTCCATTCTGGCAGCAGATCAAGCAGCGCTTTCCATGCTCACTCCTACTCCATCCTGTGCCCTGCCATACATTAATCTGCCGTGTCACCAGCAACCCAGGACTTGTTTTTAAACCCTCCTACTGCCGGATTGGTGCTCCGCCCGAAATGCCCATCTCCATTTACGCGAGGCAGATGCTGCCCCCTGCAGGATGCTAGGGGCCATCATTCTCCAAAAGATGTTGGACATGGAGATGAATTTACTTGTCTCTCCACAATTTAAATAAGCCAAGCCAGAAACCTATCCAAATCGCCCCTCAGCCTCCCCTCCCAGCAGGCCTGTAGCGTTCCCCATAGATTCCCCCGGTAATGGTCCCAGTCCAGCCACCTCGCCCCAAACCAGCCCCTCACCCTGCCAGTCCCTTTCCTGTTTCACATTTGCTTGCACGCACTGCCAGTCTCTATAATCCTTAAGGCCAAGATCAGCGATTCCTACAGAGGGTGATCGTCTAGTACAGTGGTTCTCAACCAGGGGTACACAGAGGTCTTCCAGGGGGTACATCAACTCATCCAGATATTTGCCTCATTGTACAACAGGCTACATAAAAAGCACTAGCGAAGTCAGTACAAACTAAAATTTCATACAGATAATGACTTGTTAATACTGCTCTACATACTATACACTGAAATATAAGTACAATATTTATATTCCAAATGATTTATTTTATAATGATATGGTAAAAATGAGGAAGTCAGCAATTAGTCAGTAATAGTGTGCTAGGACACTCTTGTATTTTTATGTATGATTTTATAAGTAAGTAGTTTTCAAGTGAGGTGTAACTTGGGGGGTACGCAAGACAAATCAGACTACTTTCCAAAGTAGTCTGGAAAGGTTGAGAACCACAGGTCTAGTCCAACTGGTGACACAAGCAGAATTAATTCCTGCATGACCTAGAGCAGATCTGCTGTGAAAAACAACCCTCTCTCCCTATAAAGCTTGCCAGAGACGGAAAGTCAGCCCCCTCTGCCCCACACCTTCCCCTACAGGCCCACCCATGGCTAAACACAGCAGAGATCCCCCAGCATGAAACTGACCAGCCCAGCATCACCACTAGGCAGGTTTATTAGGAATTATTTTGGGAGCGTTCCCCAGCCTGTGTTACCCGGAAGGCCAGACTAGACAATCTCTTCTGGCCTTGAAATCTGGGGTCTATGATCAAAACCTGACAGATGATGTGGGATCAAGACAATTTATTTGCACCCCAGAGGAACAGTGTATCCAGTTGGAGCTCGATATGGGCAATCTAACCCAGTTTTTCGCAGAGCACGGGGTCTGTGGGAGCCGGGGCTGGATTCAGGGAGCAGCTAGACCCCATCTCAGTTCAGCAGCAGATCCAGTAGGCTGGGCGCTTGGCTCACAGGATGGCCTGCGGCTGCTGGGTCATCAGGACACCAAAGCGTTTCTTGATGGTGATACGGTGGCGGGAGTACTTGTCATCCGGGGAG